ATTTCTCTTGGGTAGATATCTAGGAGTGAAATTGCTAAGTCTTATGGGAACTCCACATTTTACTTTTTGAAGAGCTGCTGAATGTTTCCAAAATGACTCTACCATTTTCCATTACTGCCAGCAATATGGAAGAATTCAGATTTCTCTGCTTCCTCACCTACACCTGTTAGTGTCTTTTTTATTATAACCATCTGAGTGGGTGTAAAGGTATCCCTGATGGATCTGTACGACAAGCACTGGACTACTAGCTGCAAGATCAGCAGTTCAAACCCACCAGCTGCTCCTCAGGGAAAAAGATGAGGCTTTCTGTGCCTGTAAAGATTTACAGCTTCAGAACCCTTAGAGTAGGTCTCAATGAGTGGGAATCTTACTAGCTGGCAGCAAGTTTGAATGGGTGCAAAATGGGACTGTGGTTTTGATTTGCATTTCCCTAATGAATAATGGAGTCCTGGTGTGGCACTGTAGGGTAAGCACTTAACCACAATGTCAGTTTGAACCACAAGGTTGGTAGTTCAGATCCACCAGCTGCTCCAGAAATCCTATACAGACAGTGTTGCTATGAGTCGGAACCGACTTTACGGCACTGAATAACCACTGACTTGTCTGTCAGCGTTGCTGTGATTCTGGAAGCTATGCCACCAGTATTTTAAATACCAGCAGGGTCGACCATGGTGGACAGGTTTCAGAAGAGCTTCCAGATGATGACAGACTAGGAAGAAGGAGAGACAAACTACTTCAACATATTTAGTCACTGAAAATCTTATGAATAGCAGTGGAACACTGTCAGCACCAGATTATTGAATATTGAAACATGATGAAGAGCATCGGATTATTGTCAGATATAGTGCCAGAAGATGAGTCCCTCATATTGGAAGACACTCAAAATGCAACTGGGGAAGAGCTGCTTCCTCAAAGTAGAGTTGACCGTGATATGTGAATGGAGTAAAGAAAGCCCTCAGGACCTTCATTTGTTGATGGGGCACAACTCAAAATGAAGAGAAATAGCTGTAAAAATCCATTAATAATCAGAACATAGAATGTACGAAGTATGAATCTAGGAAAATTGGAAACGGTCAAAAACGAAATGGAACATATAAACAGCATTATCCTAGGTATTAGTGAGATGAAATGGACTGGTATTGGCCATTTTGAATCTGACAACACCTGATTTACTATGCCAAAAATGACAAATTGAAGAGGAATGGTGTCACATTTATTATCAAAAAGAACATATCAAGAGCAGTCAGTCATGACAGTACACCACTGTCTGTGATAGGATAATAGCCTTAAGCCTACAAGAAAGACCAGTTAATACCATTGTTACTCAGATTTATGCATCAACCACTAAAGCTAGTGAGGATGAAATAGAAGAATTTTACCAACTTCTTCAGTCTGAAATTGATGAAACACGCAATCAAAATGTATTGATAATTACTGGTGATTGGGATATAAAGGTTGAAAACAAAGAGGAAGGATCAGTAGTTGGCCTTGGTGATAGAAACAGTGCTGGAGATGGCATGATAGAATTTTTCAAGATCAATGACTTCTTAATCTCAAATACCTTTTTTTAAACAGCATAAAAGTTGACTATACACATGAGCCTCACCAGATGGAGTACACAGAAATTAAATTGACTACATCTGTGGAAAGAGATGGTGGAAAAACTCCATATCATCAGCCAAAACAAGTGCAGGGACAGACTATGGAGTAGACCATCAATTGCTCATATGCAAATTCAGGCTGAAGCTAAAGAAAACGAAAATAAGTTCATGAGAGCCAAAATATGACCTTAAATATATAACACCTAATTTAGAGCTCATCAGAAGAATAGATTTGATACATTAGACACTAAAGACCGAAGACCAGAAGTGTTGTGCAGTAACATCAAGAACATCACACAGGAAGAAAGCAAAAGGTCATTGAGAAGACAAGAGAGAAGGAAAATTGAAAGATGATACATGGAGGAGATTGTAATCATTGCAATAAAACCAAATATGATAAGATGAATGTAAAGCTGTTGTTCTCCCATGTAAACTATCACCCAATTCACCATAAAAACTTTAAAAAAGAGAGAGAGAAGGAAAAGATCAAAATGGATGTCAGAAGAGACACTGAAACTTGCTCTCCAGCAAAGCAAATGAAAGAAGTGAGGAGGTACAAGAACTGAACAGAAAATTTCAAAGGTCAATGTGAGAAGCCAAAGTCAAATATTATAACAAAATGTACAAAGACCTGGAGTTAGAAAACCAAAAGGGAAGAACACGCTCAGCATCTCTCATGCTGGGGGAACTGAAGGAAAAAATTCAAACTTTGACCTGTGGTATTGAAGGATTCTATGGGCAAACTACTGAATGATGAAGAAATCATCAAAAGAAGATAGAAGGAATATGCAGTCACTGTACCAAAAAGAAATTACCCATGTTCATCCATTTCAAGAGGTAGCATATGATCAAGAGCCAGTGATCCCGCAAGAAGTCCAAGGTTCATGGAAGTCATTGGCAAAGAGCAAGGCACCAGGAATTGATGGAATGCAAATTAAAATCTTCCAACAAAGTGATGTGGCACTCAAGGCACTCACTCATATCTCTGCCAAGAAATTTGGAAGGCAACTGCCTGGCCAACTGACTGCAAGAGATCTGTATTTGTGCCCATTCCAAAGAGAGGTGACCCAACGGAATGCGGAAATCATCGAACAATATCATTGATATCCCACACAAGTACAGTTTTACTAACAGTAATACAGAAATGGCTGCAACCATACATTGAAAGAGAACTTCCAGAGGTTCAAGCCAGTTTTAGAAGAGGATGTGGAACAAAAGATATCACTGCTGACATCAGATGGATCATGGCTGAGAGCAGAGAATACCAGAAAGATGTTTACCTGTCACTATACAAAGGCTTTCGATTGTGTGGATCATGACAAGCTATGGATAATATCACGAAGTATAAGTATTCCAGAACACTTAATTGTGCTCATGGGGAACCTGTACATAGACCAAGAGGCAATAGAACAAGGGAAAACTGGATGGTTTAAAATGAGCGTGCGCTAGGGTTTTATTCTTTCACCATATTTATTCAATCTGTATGCTGAACAAATAATCAGAGAAGCTGGATTAGTTGAAGAAAAACGTGGCATCAGAATTGGAAGAAGGCTCGTTAACCTGCAATATGCAGATGATACAACCTTGCTTGCTGAAAGTGAAGAGGACTTAAAATATTACTGATGAAGATCAAAGAGCACAGCCTTCGGTATGGATTGCATGCATCTCAATGTAAAGAAAACAAAAATCCTCACCACTGGACTAATAAATAACATCAACATAAATGGAAAAAAGATTGAAGTTGTCAATGTCTTCATTTTGCTAGGATCAACCATCAACATTCATGGTAGCAGTAGTCAAGAAGTCAAATGGCATAATGCATTGGGAAAATCTGATGCACAAAGCTTCTTTAAAGTGTTCAAGAGCAAAGATGTCAGTTTGAGGACTAAGGTGTGCTTGACTCAAGCTAGGATATTTTCAATAACCTCATATGCATGCGAAAGTTGGATATTGAATAAGGAAGACCATAGAAGAATTGATGCATTTGAGTTATGGTGTTGAAGGAGAATATTGAAAGTACCGTGGGCTGACAAAAGAACAAACAGATAGATCTATGTTGGGAAAACTGCAGCCAGAGTGCTCCTTGGGAGCCAGGATGGCCAGAACTTTGTCTTTCATACTTCAGAGAATATGTCAAGAGGACCAGTCATTGGAGAATGATCTCACGTTTGGTAAAGTGGAGGGTAGGAGAAAAAGAGGAAGACCCCAATTAGATAAATTGGCACAGTGGCAGCATCAATGGGTTCAAATGTGGCAATGATTGTGAGGTTGGACCAGGGTCAGGCAGTGTTTTGTTCTGTTGTGCATAAGGTTGTTATGAGTCAGTGCCAACTCGATGGCACCTAACAACAACAACCACAACAATGACTAATGACATTGGGCATTTGTTTTTTTCATGTGTTTGTTGTCTATTTGTATATCATGGGAATGATGTCTATTCAGATCCTTTGCTCATTTTTTAATTGTGTTGTCTTTTTATTTTAGAATTGTTAGTTCTTTATATATTCTGCATAGAAGTCCATTGTCATAGATACGATTTGCAAATAGGTTGTCGTTTTTTTTTACTTTCTTGATGGTGCTCTTTAAAGCACTAAGGGATTTTGTTTTTCATTTTGATGTAATTCCATTTTTTTTTTTTCTTTTATCATTGTTCTGGTGCTGCCCTATCTTAAGAAATACTTATCTAACCCAAGGCTACAAAGATTTGTTCCTCTATTTTCATCTAAGAGATTTATAGTTTGAACTCTGGATCTGTGATGCATTTGGAAGTAATTTTTGTTTGTGGCAGGACTACTTTTTTATGACCTATGGGTCATTGCATACACCATTTCTGTTTGCTTTCTGCTTCATTCACTGGCCAAAACTTAGTTACATGGTCATACCCTGTATGAAAAGTTTAAAATGTGTGCTTCAGGCACCTAGTATCAAATTGAACAGATTGAAAGCCTCTTCAGCCATAATCTTAGTCAGCTGTGAACAAATTTATTCTATTGCTTCACTTTAAAGATACATTTGCCCAATTCACCCATGGAGATTTAAGAGGAAACTTTTAGCGTGAACCTCAGGTACCCGGAACCTCTGCCTTTTGCAGCCCGCTTACTCCCTGTGATCTACCCCAAGGTAAACGGTCCCTGCGGCACTTGCTGGCCTTCCCCCGCCCCGCAGATCTGAGCTCTTGACTTTTCCTCTTTGGAGAAAGGAAATCGTGCACGTCTGGGATTCTCGATTTCCCAGCTCATTGCCATCTGATCAGGGCACCCCGGCTCATGCTCCGCCCCTCGGTTGGGAGCCACCCCTGCCCCAGAGGGCTGAGGCCCCAGTGGGGCCAAGAAGCCGGCTCCCCTGTGGTGGGACGATAAGACCAGAGGGAGGCAGCTGCAGTTGGATTTGCCGTGCACAATGGCGGTGGCCCCTGGAGGGACCTCAGTGCTGGCAGAGGAGGCACGATCACCCCAACCTGAAGCGTACACCTCGGTGCCCAGCTCGGTGAGTGCAAAGCGAGGGGCAAGGAGTGGGTGGGGTCCGAGCTAGGCAAAAGAAGGGGCTCTGGTCTCCCCATTCCCCGACTTTGGGGCGTCTGGTAGCAGCTCCTTAGACAATGTCAGCCTTTACTCTTCTGAACTCCCTTTAGTGTAGTTTGACAGGCTGCGGAAATTAGGGAGTCCAACAATACAAGGACTCCTTTAAGGAGGTACTGTGTTGTTGTTAAATACTGTCCAGTGGATTCCGACTCATAGTAACCCTGTCTAGGGTTTCTGAAGAGTAACTGGTGGGTTTGAACCGCCAACCTTTCACTTCAAACTGACCTTGAGGTTCAGTGCATTATCCTGCAATGTCACAACAACAACCAGTACCTCCTTAAAGAAACCCTAGTAGCCTGGTGGGTTCTGAGTTGGGCTGTTAACCTCAAATTAAGTAGTTAGAACTGCCAGCTGCTTCCTGGAGAAAGATGAGGCTTTCTGCTCCCAGAAAGACCCCTTAGAGATTTACAGCCTTGGAAACCCTATAAAGAAAGGGTGGCTATGAGTGGAACCTACTCCATGGCACACAACCACCACTGACACAATACTTACTCTCTTTTATCAACCCCTGGTGGTGGGTGGGGAAACTGAGTCCTAGGCAAATGAAATAACTTGCAGGATTCATTCCATTCTGGTCAGCTAATATAAGGTCCATGACTCTTGTCCACTGCAGGCTCTCCTCTGAGCTCTAGTGTAAAACTTTCCCAATTCCCAGGCAGGTGGTATGAGTTTAGCCTCCCTCTTAAACTCTGACTTAGTCCAGACATCTAGCTTCCAAAAGGAGATTTCCGCAGATTCTGAGGTGAGGTGAGGATGGTGGGTACTTAGGGTGTTTCTTCTGTATGGAGAAAACTTAGGAACCCTGGGCTTTCTGTGTTATACAGAATACAACATTCTCTCCCCATCATGGACAAGGCATTTATGAGACTTGACTTGGTCACCACTTTAATTCCTCATCTTGACTGTGCTTCCTCTCACATCTCAGAACAAAGAGCTGTGATTCCCAAGAAAGAGAAATAAGACCTCTGAGGAAACTCATTTCCCAATGAAATTTAGGAATTCAAAATGAAAACATGGCAACAGGGGAAAACATTGCCAGTGAAGTGCCAGCATTTAACTCTTAGAACAACCCTAGGATATATGAGGGGCCTTCAAAATGTTCATGGCGAAAATGGAATTAAAAGATAATGGATTTTTTTCCACAAAGTTTTTTGAAGCCCTCATACTTGTTATCTCCATTTTACAAGTGACGAAACCAGTTCAGAGAGATTAAGTTGGCCTGGGCCACAGAGCTAGAAATAGACGAAATAGGATTTGAATAGGTTTGTCTGACTCTTATTGCCAGCAGGTAAAGCTGACAAGACTCTAAGACTATATCCCTAGTTTCATCTGGATTTTTTTTTTCTTCTATCTTTTGAATGCCATCTATGTGCCAGAAAGTTGCTAGACACATTTAGGGAGAAACAAGGGCCCCGTTATAGGAGAAGGGAGGGCTGTCATGTTGGATTCTTGTCTTTGATGTTTTCTGGGAGTTGAAATGATGTTTGCACAAATTTCAGAAAAGGAGACCACATCCTGCCTCAAGTGTGGGTTTCTGCTTTGGGTAGGAGAGTATGCACAGGATGTGATAAACCCTTATCTGGGATAACCTTCCCTTCAGATGAGCCCAGTGGGGCATCCTGAAAAATAGCAAAATGGATTAAGCCATAGTCCTCTCCACTCCCCCTCCCACCACCAAGCATAGGATGAGAAAGGATCCCCAGCATCTTTTGAAGCAATTACATTACACAGTATCTTCTTGACCACTTATTCTTTCAACAAATTCACATTGAGCACCTACTATGTGTCAAGCAATGTTCTAACAACTGGGGACATAATGTGGTTCATGCTTTCTAAGAGCTTATTTTCTGGTGAGGCAAGGCAGGAAACTGAATATTTCAGGCAGTGAGTTTGATGAGAGAGAGACCTGGGTGGTAAGGGAAGGCCTCTCTGAGAAGGTGACATTTAAGCTGAGGCCCCAGTGACAAAGGAGAGCCTTCCAAGCCCAAGGACAGGGAGGTACAAAGGCAGCAATAGGCTGAGAAATAGGAGTTTGCAGGATAGGAATGAGGTCACCGTGACTGGTGAAAAGCTATCTAAGTGAAGTGAAAAAGGCATGGAGGCTGATCAGCAGACTCCCTGGGCTTTATTGAAACTGAAAAGGTAAACTGATGGAGGATTTGAAGCAGAGAGAAGATATCATCTAATTTGTGTTATTAAAAGATCACTTAGGCTTCTGGACAAAGTGGATTGTAGAGAACAAGAGCAGAAGCAAGGAAGCCACTTAGGAGGCTCTCACTGGTGGCTTAAATGGGGAGTGTGGGAAACAAGAATCAAGGATGACTCAGGGGCCTGCACCAATGGGCGGACAGTAGGGTCATTTAATGCAATGAAGACAGCAAAGTTAGGAATTGGTTTAGACAATGGGATGGAAATCAAGAGCTGTGTTTTGACCATGCTAAGTCAGGAGTTCTGGTGTGGCACTATAGGATAAGCACTGGACTGCTAACCACAAGGTCAGTGGTTCAGAAACACCAGTCACTCCTGGGAAACCCTATACAGGGTTGCTAGGAGTCAGAACTGACTCAAAGCCACTTAACAACAACAACAACAAGTTGAGATGTCTGTTAGACATCTGTGGGGCTATGAGTACATATCTAATATCAAATCTGTAGTGCACTGGATAGCTTGAGGCTAGTGGAAACATGGAATTAAAATACTATGGAATTTTTCACAAACTTTTGAAGTCCCCTGATACAGTTGATGACTCCTGGTGTAGTGTTGTAGGATAAACACCTGACTACTAACCACAAGGTTGGCAGTTCAAACCCACTAGCCTCTCCTTGGAAACCCTTTGCAGTGTCTCTGTGAGTCAGAACCAACTCCATGGAACTTAACAACAGCAACACACAGCTGGGAGTCCTAAACCTTACTTCATTTCATTGGTGACCTGGCCAAGAGCAGGAGCAAGACAGAAGGGAGGAAGATTGCTCTGATTTGTATTGCCTGCTGCTGCTGCTGTTAAATGCCATGAAGTCGGTTCCAACTCATAGTGGCCTTATGCACACTCTGACTCTGGTGTAAATACTCTCATCATGAAGGAGTTCAAGCTGCCAGTGGTTCAACATCTGACTTGCAAAATTCTTGAACATTTAACCATCAACTCTCAGAGCCATTACCTCATTTGCTCACCAAAACAACCCTATGAAGTTGTCAGGGATATTCCATTTAAAAGATGAGAAAAAAAGAAAAGTAAATAAATTAAAGATGAGGAAAACAAGGCTTAAAGAGACAAACGGACTTATTCACATTCACATAGTGAGTAGGGGTGGTTCAAGCCCAGGTCTCCTGATCACTAGTTTACTCTTTCTTGGCTCCAAAAATTAAAGTAGGCCACAGAGAGAAACATCAAGAGGGAAATGTAGGGAAGAACTTCCCCCTGGTAATATTGACAAGGTCATAATTTAGGATCCTTCTTTTTTTTTTTTTCCTGTCTCATTTCCTTTCAAAGGAGCTTGGTTAGCATAGTGGATTATGAGCTGGACTGCTAACCAAAAGGTCAGCAGTTCAAATCTACCTGCTGCTCTGTGGGAGAAAGATGAGGCTTTCTGCTCTCATAAAGATTTATAGCCTCAGAAACCCTATATATGGACATCACAGGAGTGTGGGGAGCTGTTTTGTGTCTGTGGAGTCGGACCTTAGCACCAGTGTCTCCCCCAGGACAGCAGAACCAATCGCCTCTCATTCTGTACGAAGTTGTGCTATGGCATTGGTGGAGTGCCCAACCAGGTGGCCTCAAGTGCCACAGCCTTCTACCTGCAGCTTTTCCTGCTTGATGTGGCCCAGGTAAGTGGGGACACCACCCCAGGGCTGAGTGCTCCCACCTTCCCTCTGTCCTGCTCCCTGTTTGGTTCTTCCATGTCTGCCTGTACCTTAATCATCCTTGGTAGACAGCGTTTCTGACTCAAAAGACAAATGCTATCAAGTTGCTTTATTGCAGCAGCGTTTGTAATGGGAAAATGGGGAACAATGTGAATGCCCAACACTACAGAAGCAGTTGAGTTAGGTCTCCAGTTCAAATTCACCAGCTGTTCCTCAGGAGAAAGATGAGGTTTCTGCTCCTATAAAGATTTACAGCTTCACTGTGAGTTGGAATCAACTCGATGGGTGTATATCTACATAAGGACCCCTGGCTGACACAGTGGCTGAGTGCTCAGTTGCTAAGTGAAAGATGTGGCAGGCTGCTTCCCTAACTATTACAGACCTGGAAATCCTGTGGGGAAGTTATACTCTGTCCTATGGTACAGGGTCGCTAGGAGTCAGAATTGACTGGATGACAATAGTTTTTTCATTTGTTTTTACTTTTTTTATATTCACAAACTGAACTGTTGTTGTTGTTGCTAAGTGCCCTGTGCTCTGAGTCAGCTCCAACTCATAAATACCCTATATAGGGCTTCTGAGGAGCAGTTGGTGAACTTGAAGACGACCTTATCATCCAGCACATTAACCCACAGCGCCATACCAGGACTCCAATGAACTATTAGGCAGTCATATTAAAAAGTTAGATCTATACCTGCTCCATAATGCATTGTCAAATGAGAAAAGCTAGTTTTAGATAAGAGTATATAAAAGGATCCCATTTTAACAAAACAAAGACATGCCTCATATTTGTGTGTGCATGTGAATATGTGTGTATGTGTATATATATATTTGATTAAAATATAAACATGGAGAAAATTGTGGAAGAATATACACCAAGGCTGTTAATGTTGGCTATATAAGAGAATGGTGGGGGAATAGGGGTGAAACAAAAAAAATTTTTTTTAAGATCTGTGATTTTTTTTTAAATGACACTATGACCTATTAATATAAAATGATGTTAGAAATGCAAGAAAGTATGATCAATATGCTTCTAGTGTCTCAGGATGGTGAGATTTCAGATGAGCTTCACCTACTATTTGTACTGATTGAATTTTTTATATATAATGAATATATATGTTTAATTAGAAGAGTCAATAAATCATTTTCATTGTAAAACATACAGTTTCCCTCTGACTATCAGCCTAGATCTACCCCTTTGGCTCTGAACCACCCCATACTTTCTAATGAGGGCCCCTCAAATCTTATCCTAAGAGTAGGAGTGAGAATGGGAATGTGCCAATCCATGCAGCTGTCAGCTCCCTCCCTGCTCCTCCTCTCACTAGTAGGCCCTTCTAGCCTTCTGGATTATGTCCTGGTGGAGAGGCCCAGTGGCCCTCTGAACCCTGCCAGGTTTCCAGCTCTCCCTTCCAGAAGGCAGACAGGCCTCAACACTTCACTGCCAGGACTTCTCCAGCCCCTCCCTGGTCCATTTCAGATCCCTGCTGCCCAGGCATCACTTGTCCTGTTTGGAGGGAAAGTATCTGGGGCAGCTGCTGACCCTGTGGCTGGGTTCTTCATCAACAGAAGCAGGAGGACAGGATCTGGACGACTCATGCCCTGGTGAGCAGCCCCCCACCCCCACCCCCCACTTAGTCCTGAGGTCACTACATTTGTCACAGCCCTGTTTCTCAGTGGGAAACCTCCTTGGATTAGTAGAGGATAAAACTGGAGACTAGACTGGAATTATACTGCAAGCCTTTCAGTTCAGAGATATTTTTGGGGACTGTCCCTCACCAGACAACACAGGGCTTGGCATTGCCTCCAAGCCTTCCCAGCTCTGGCCCATGGCTCTCAGTATGAACAGGTTGGCCAGGAGACCATGGAAGGTCTCAGAGAAACTGTAACTTACTTGGCCTTATGTCTTAAATAGAGGGAATGGCATCATTGAGCACAAGGGCCCCAGTCAGAGTCCAGCAGTGAATGACCCTCTCCAGAGCCTGCCACACCCACATCCAGTCACCCAGACCTACCTCTCATTTCTCCCACCCTGAGAGCCCTAGCCCAGGTTCCCCCAAAGACAGAGGGGCTTGTGCCCAGAAGGGATCAATGTGTTCCAGGCCCTTGGTGTCCCTTCAGCCCTGGTGCTGAGGGGTGCTCCTCACCCCTGTGTTTCACAGGGTGCTGGGCTGCACACCCTTCATCGCCTTGGCTTACTTCTTTCTATGGTTCCTGCCTCCCTTCACCAGTCTTCGAGGCCTCTGGTACATGGCCTTCTACTGCCTGTTCCAAGCCCTGGCCACGGTGAGTAGGTGCCCTCTCTCAGTTCTCTAGTGCTGCTATAACAGAAATGCCACAAGTGGGTGGCTTCAACACATTTATTTTCTCACAGTTCTGGTGGCTAGAAGTCCAAATTCAGAGTGCTGGCTAAGGAAAGGCTTTCCCTCTGTGTCAACTCTGGAGGAAGGTCGTTACTCCTTAGTTTCTGCTTCCTGGTTCCTTGGAGACTTCCATGTATCTTGGCATCTATCATCCCTCTGCTCACTTGAATCAAAAGAGATTGACTCAAAATACACTCCACACTAATCCTGCCTGGTTAACATAACAAAGACAACCCATTCCCTCGTGGGATTGATAGCCAGAGGTTTAGAGTTTAAGATTTACAACACATATTTGGGGGTATATAATTCAAAAAATTCCATAGTTTGACCCTCAAAAATGCATATCCTTGACACAAGTAAAACACAATCACGCCGCCACATCATTCCAAAAGTTCAAATCATCTCCAAGTGCAAAGTCTCATTTTCTGAATAATCTAAATTACATATTGGTGAGATTTTAGGCATATTCCATCCTGGACAAAATTCCTCTTCATCTATGAACCTGAGATATCTAGAATACAAGTTATCTGTTTCTGAAGTACAGTGGTAGAACAGGTACAAAGTAAACATTTTCATTACAGATGGGAGAAATTGTAGGGAAAGAAGGGTTAACAGGTACCAAGCAAGTCCAAAATTCAAGAGAACAATTTATATTAAGTCTCAAGGTTTTAAAATAATTCTCTGTTCTTTAGGACCATCAAGGCAATCTGTCTTCCAGATTCTGGGTGTTGGCCACACCCTCTGGATTCTGGGTAGAGGCCCCTGGCCCCTGGGCTTCAGCTCTGCTTTCCAGGCCCACTGGACAGCAACTCTGCTTTGAGCAATCCATTTGAGTTACACACCTACCCACTTGGCCTTGGAGGCTTCATTTGTCTGCCCTTTGGGCATGACATTTCTGCCCCCTCAGCTTTAGGTGGTGGCCCCATCCCCTTGGCATATTTTAATGGCAACACCACACTTCTGAACCCAGTTGGCGAAGATCTGACCCTTTGGAATCTAGGAGGCTGTGGTCCCACCCTTTGGAACCCAGAAGGCTCTGCTTCCCATGTTCCTTCCAACAGTTTTGTTGATCTTCAGGCTGTTCCAGGGATAGCCTTTTTCTTTTCTTGAAGGACAAAAGATGTACTCCTTTGGCCTGTTTCCTGCCAAGAGGCAGACAATGTTCTTTACAGTCTTTCTCCCTTCCCTGTAAGCTGATGGGTATTCTGCTGAGATTGTTGGTTAGATCCATCAGTCACAGGCTTAATCTCTTTAACAAAAGATTGCATAGCCATGTCTTTGGTAAAAATTCTGGGACATGCGCCCTTAGTTTGTACAACAGAAGTTTCCAAATCTTGAACTTTTGTTTTAATTTTGCACAGCTCATTTTTTTTTTTAATCCATAGAGTTTTCTTTCTTTTTTTTAACTTTTTATTGTGAATTGAGTGAAGGTTTGCAGACAAGATCATAACACAGTTCATTTTTAACTCCATCTTTTTCCTCTCAATTTTTACTGTAAGCAGTGAGGACAAACCACATGGACCCTTTAAGATCTTGCATAAAAATCTCATCAGCCAAATATCCAAGTTCATCACTTACAAGTTCTACTTTCCACCAAAAATTTGAACATAATTTAGACAAATTCTTTACCACTACATAAAAAGTATCATTCTTCCTTCATTGTCCTACCACATGTTCATCATCTTCTTGTAATGCCTCACCGGAAGCAATCTAACATCCACATTTCTAGCTACTGGCACCATCTGAGTTCTTTAAGATAGTAGAGACTTTTGTTGTAGTTCTCATTTTCTTCTGAACCCTCACCAAAACTGCTTTGGTATCCATAATTCTACCAACAGTTTCTTCAAGGCAATCTAGGTTTTCACTATTGGGCACCTTGAAACTCTTCCAACTTACCCATTGCTCAGTTCCAAAACCATTTCCACATTTCATTTATCTGTTAGAGTATAACATCACTCTTGACACTAAATTATGTAATTATCTAGCACTGCTATAAAAGAAATGCCACACATAGGTGGCTTTAACAAATTTATTTATAATAAACAGAAGGCTCAAAGTCTGAATTCAGAATGCCAGCTCTAGGGAAAGACTGGCTTTCTATGAGCTCTGAAGGATGGTTCTTGTCTGTTCAGCCTCTGCTTCTTGATTCCTTGGAGATCTCAATATACCTTACCATCTATTTTACCCCATTTCTCCTCTGCTCACTTGCTTAATCTTCTTTGTATATCCTAAGAGATTGACTCATAATATATCACAGACTATTCTGGTCTCATTAACATAACTAGAATACTGTTTTCTAAATGGGATTATTGTTAAGTGCCATGAGTCATTTCGACTCAGAACCAACCCACCAGGATTCCTAAATATTCTAACCCCAGATTTCGAGGGTAGAATTTACAACACATATTTTGGGGGGAAAGGAGCTCTGGTGGCTTAGTTACGAGTCAGGCTGCTAACCTCAAGGTCACCAGTTCAAAACTAGCAGCCATTCCGTGGGAGAAAGATGAGGCTTTCTGCCCCCATAAAGCTTCGGAAACCCTATACAATTTTGCTGAGTCAGAACCACCACCACCATTTTGGGGGGGAGCATAATTTAATTCATAGCACCTACCATGGACCTGGACTCCGGTGAATCCCATTGCTGGCTGTGGTTGGAAAGGGGTAGATGATCAGGAGGGACACACTCCTCTCACCTGCACACTCATCACTAATGACAGGAAGGCTACCATTAGTAACTGTCACCCTGCTTTGGTTCTGTGTCTCCTCCTGCCATTCAGCCCCTAGTGATGGAGTGGGCAGGGCGCCCGCAGGGTGGCTAGGGCCTCAGCCTCCTAAAGCTGGGGTCTTGGGTTGGGGAACCTGGACAGTTGGGCCATCCTAAGCGCTGCTCGGGCCTCCCCAGTTCTTCCAGGTGCCTTACACGGCCCTTACCATGCTACTGACCCCCAGTTCGAGGGAGCGGGACTCGGCCACCGCGTATCGTGAGTGCAGACTGGGGGTGGGGGTGTGGAATGATGCTGTCCCTTGGATGGAGCTTAGACCTAGTGGGGGAAGGGGGGGCGTGGCAATCGCTCAATTTGAGTGGCCGCTGTGTTCCCAGGGATGACTATGGAGATGGTGGGAACGCTGATGGGAGCAACTGTCCACGGACTCATCGTGTCCCGCGCCCACGGGCCCCACGGGTGCGAGGAGGCCACGCTTCCCGGGTCGGGCGGCGTGTCCCCGGACGCGGTGAGTGCCCAGGCAGTGGGACCTTACCGGAACAGCTTCTGAGGGCCACCCCTTTCCACTCGGGCCTCTGCCTCCTCTTTTGGGGAGTTGGTTCAGCTTGGCACACCATCCTTACTCATTCCTTTCCTGCACCTCTTTCTGAGCAGATCACCCCACGTCCAAGATAACCTAAAGTCCTGCTGCCAAACCGCCTACTGAGTTCCTTCTTAACATAAACAACAAATGCAGAGGCCCACCCCAGACAAGGAACAGAGGGTGGAGAAGGGAGTGGGTTGTGGACCTGGCCACAGGCGGTGTGGCAGGAAGAGGCCTGCAAAGGGCAGGGAAGAGAGGGCAGCAGAATGGTTTGCTGTCCCGGCAGGGGCCTGGGAGTTTTTCCTAGCCTCCCAACCCCAGTGTTAAGTGACAAGGGGACAGGAGGTTACCAGCAGCAAGCCTTCCCTCTCCAGCAATGAGAGGGCACACTATGTTTTACCCTCCAAGATTACCTATTTTTCTGTTTTTCCCAGTCTTTGACCTTAAGCAAAGAAGCCCCAGGAGCCCAAGATTTGCAGTGCAAAGCCACCATTCTCTCAGAGGATGAAAGATGAGGCTGTGTTCCTGTGAAGACTTATAGTCTCAGAACCCCAAAAGCTTTCTGCCTCCAGCTATCCCCCTCTCCCAGTACAGTCAGGATGACATTTTAAAGGATAAACTGGACCGTGTTTTTACTTTGTTAAAAGTCCTGTGGAAGGCCCACTCCCTGAGGGACCTTTGATGTGGCCTGGAGTTGCACTCATTCTGTGTAATCTATCCCACATTCCTCTGCACCCCGTCTTGGGACTTTCCCACGTATGATTCTGCACCAACTTAACAGCACTAAACAAGAATTGGTTCATAAGTCCAGGTCTGTACTTAAACATAGGCCCCAGAACTAGATGGTCCTCACCTGCAGGATGTGCCACAAACCATCATCCCAAGATTTGATTTAGAAAAATGTAGACAGTTGTTCTCAAAATGTGGTCCCTGGACCAGCAGTATTAGCATCATCTGAGAAGTTGTTAGAAAGGCACATTCTTTCACCCTACCTGAGACCTACTGATTCAGAAATTCTGGGGATGGAGCCAGTAATCTGTTTTAATAAGCCCTCTAGGAGGTTCTGGTACCTGCCAAAGTCTGGTAACCAATGGTATAAGGACACCACAAACACCACATACCCTACTAGCCATTTAAAACATTAGAATTTAAGTCCCCATGTATTCATCCCACATCCATCTCCAGGACCAGCTACATAATTTGTGGCATCTAGAACTTCTATTGCGGTACTGTAGGATCAGCAATGGACTGCGAATCATAAGGTCAGCAGTTCAACCTTCCCAGCTGCTCCTCAGAAACCCTATGCAGGATTGCTATGAGTCGGAACTGACTTAACATTCTTCACGACAACAGTGCAACATGAAAATGTGAGGCCCCAACTGAGGTATGGAAGTGAATCTTCCCTGCCCATAGGTTCTATTGACCCAACTAAGGAATTACCCACTGGGCACCTGGATTGAGAGTGGGTGAGAATCTCCCAAACCGCAAACATCCTCTGAACTGCAGGCCTCGTAGCATTGCCAGCCTGGCGTGGAAAGATTGGCACCATTCACCTCTCTCATGAATCCACATCCCAACCAACTCAAGGCAATCAGTACTGAATGCAGGTCTCTCTACATCTGTGATAAAGTCCGGATGGGCCCAGGAGGGGGTGGCAAGGTGGGGCCTGGGGTTCAATCAAGGGACTAGAAAACAAGGGACTCAGAACCCATTCCAGAACAGCTAAGAGCTCTGGGTAGCTGCATTGTGCTCCGACTATACTTACAAAATTTACAAATGCAAATTCAGAATAAAAGTACTGAGAATTTAAAGATAATGAAAGCTGAGTATTGAACATTGGGCTCCTCAGAACACTCAGAACGTTGGCTGTGTACCATCTTCCTCTTTTTCTTTCTTCTCCCCTGCCCCAAGACATCCTCTATCCAAACATTGGATAGCTTTTGTCCCCATGGATTCTTTACATGGATTTTAATGACATATGTGTCTTTACATATTTTAATGACAGGCAGCAGCATTTCTCTTTTCTCTATTGACCTGGGTCACTGTGCCTCACACTGTGCTGTAACTGTATGTCAAGGATCCATCTTCCCATCACCTTTGAGAGCCCCTTATTGTGTGTCTGTGGATAGACCACTGACTCATCAGTGTAACCTCAGGGATTGACATACACAACATACTGTATGCCATACTGCAGAGTTGAACTCAAGTCAGTAGCAGTAAGTGTTTGCTTAAAAATTCTGGAAAGAAAGCACAAGTGTGAGTCAGCCCTGTCCCCTAGAGGCATGATGCTCCCTTTTCATGGAGAAGATATGAGGTCAGCAGAAGGGTACATGAGTGGATGTATCATACTGGGCCCTTAGATACTGGGATGACTGGAAGGAGGACTCAGCCTCCTTGAGCCAGGCTGAGGGCCACTCAGCTCACTTCCTGCCCTGGGTGTCCCTATTCCTATGGTTTGGAGACACAGCGCCCACCCCACTTCTGTCCTGTCCCACAGATGCGTCTCTACTCCATTGCAGCCGCTGTGGTTGCCATGACTTACCCTGTGTGCATTAGCCTGCTCTACCTGGGGGTGAAGGAGAGGCCAGGTACAAAGGGCTGATGGAGGGCCTGGAAACGGAAGCTGGGGGCAAGGCTCCTCTTGAAAGTGGGTTGTGGTTTTGAACTCTGCCCAGCCTACATGTTCTGTTGCTGTGTTGCAGAACCCTTCACTTCAACCTCAGGTCAAGGCCTGAGCTTCCTGGTTGGGCTGGGCCTCATTGTCCGGCACCCACCCTACCTGAAACTGGTGACCTCCTTCCTGTTCATCTCGGCCGCTGTCCAGGTGCTTCTGACCAGGCCAATCCACGCTGGCTTGACCCTGGCCATACCGACACTGTGCAGGTTCAGGGGTCAGAATTAGGTACCAGATTTAGGTTTGAGTTTTAATGGGGACAAAAGTGGTGGTGACCCAAAGAGGATGGTGCTGAGAGGAAAGAAAAGAAACCAAGGTAGGGGTTATGAGATGGGGGGTAGAGGCCATGCACTAGGAACCTGGCAGAGTCGGGAGTGATTTCTTCTCATGTTACCTGAAGTTTCCTGATCCTAGCTGGCATTGATATCTGTATCAGGATAAATGCCCTCTGTGGGGAAGGGGTCTACAGGGGGTCTACAGGGGAGGCCAGACCTGAGACCCAGTGCTTTGCCCTTGACTTTCTGAGCTCTGCCACTTCCTGTACCCATGCACCCTTCTTTTCCCCCTCTTCAGGTGGAGCAGAGCTATCTGGTCCTGTTCTGTACACATGCCACCCGGCTACATGACCATGTCGAGAAGCTGGTGCTGACCATCTTGGTGAGAGGCCTGGGGTACTAAAGCAAGGTCATTGGGGGCCTGAGTGGGGATATGGATAGTCCTTGACAAGAGGCACGCATGCGTGGTTACAGTGCTGGTGGTCAGCATTCTGGATTCTGCTTTGGTTTCAGTCACTTACAATCCAGCAGGGTCATAAAGTTCAAACCACAGGTTCAAACTAGGTCCAGGGCAGGAGTCCTATGTAAAGCCAGGGTGTTGAGATCCCTAGCAATGGTGATGTTGTCTGTTCACAGGTATCGGCTGTGCTGAGCACCCCTGTGTGGGAGTGGATTCTACAGCGATTTGGGAAGAAGACCTCAGCGTTTGGGATCTGTGTGAGCGGGGCAGGATACAAGGTCTGGGGATGGCCGTGGGGGAGAGATGGAGCAGCTATCATGGATTCTGAGTTTCCTGGGGCCAGGGACTGTGTCTATGTTCCCTGGTGTCTTTGGTGCCCTAGCACACGGCCAGGTACAAGAGGCCATTGTAAAGACTGGTGAGTGTGAGAATGAAAGAGCAAGTCTGGGGAGCAGGTGGCAGGATCATCTAGTTTGTCTGTCTCCCCAGGTGATGGTGCCTTTTACAATCTTGTTGGCTGCTGTGCCCACGGCACCTGTGGCCTATGTCGTGGCCTTCGTATCGGGCGTGAGCATTGCAGTGTCCATGCTGCTACCCTGGTAGGCTGGGGGAGGGGAAGGGGTTTGGGAGCTTTACCTCCTTCCATAATGTGAATCCTCTCTGTCACATTAAGCTGTTGTCCCACGACCTCCATGTCCAGTCTCCTAAAAGGGCACAAGAGGCAGGAGTGGTGGGGTGGGAACTGGATCTTGGAGTCAGTCCTGGTCCTGGGCAGCAGACTGGCAGTGGACAAGGGGATGAAGGGACTAACTGTGCAGCTGCCCTGCTTCCCCAGGTCCATGCTGCCAGATGTGGTAGATGACTTCCAACTGCAGCATCAGCACGGTCCAGGCCTGGAGACCATCTTCTACTCCTCTTATGTCTTTTTCACCAAGCTTTCAGGAGCAGGTGCCCTGGGCATCTCCACTCTCAGTCTGGAGTGAGTCCCAAGACAGGGGCCACCAGAGGCACAAAAGGCTAGTGGGATGGGAAGAAGAGAGCAAAGACCCCTGTAGCCCGCTGGAGATCACTCATGAATCTGTGTCCAAGCTCTGCTGTGAAGATATGAGGGTCCCCACCCCCACCAGGTTTCTCTGTGTATGTAACTGAGAGAGCCCCAGTTCCCACATTCTCAATCATCTCTCCCCCTGGCCAGACCATCCCTTCAACCCCCTTTTCCACCACAGGTAGGCTGTGTCCGAGTTTCTAGATATTGTGGAGGTGGGGTGTCTGGGACCCCTGCACTCAGGGAGCTAGGCTGGGTAAGGATCTGACCTGGATGGATGGGTGGTGTTTCTCCAGGTTTGCAGGGTATAAGGCTGGAGCCTGTGAACAGGCAGAGAAGGTGGTGGTGACCCTCAAGGTCCTCATCGGAGCCGTGCCCACCGTCATGATTCTCATTGGTTTGTGCATCCTCCTGGTCAGCCCTTCTCTGAAAGTGCCAAGTCAGAATCTCTCCCGCAAGCCGAGCCTTCGGAGGTGGGTTCTCTAGTGAAGCAAAACCAGTGAAACTTATATATGTATACACACACACACACATATATATAAAGAGAAGTTTATATTAAAGAAATGACTGTAGAGATGGGAAAGTACCAAGTCCAGGTCAACTGAGCCAAGATTGGCATGTAGGGTAGACAGGAGTCTCAAGTCTGGGCCAGGTGACCCAAGATTGGTGGGCAGGACCAGCAGGAAGACAAGCCGACAAACAATAGTGTTGGCCACTAGCTCAGGTTCAAAGAACCAGAGGTTGGAGGACAATCTAGATGCAAGATCTAGATCCAGATCCAGATCCAGCAGAAGAGATCTGGGAGCAGGCCAACCCCCACAAGGAAACAGCCTTTCCATTGTTTAGCTGCTGGTACCCAATCATCATAGTTAACTATACCTGCTAATAGTCAGTCATCATAGAATTGTTGTTAAGTGTCTTCAAGTCAGTTCCGACTCATAGCAACCCTGTATAGGGTTTCCAAGAAGTATGTGGTGAGCTTGAACCACCGGCCTTGCAGTTCAAACAGACTTTGCAGTCCAGTGCATTAACCCACAGCGCCACACCAGGACTGCATCATAGAATTAACTAAGCCTATATTAGATTTCACCATGGTCTCAACTGCCAAACTACTGGAATCCTGGCCCAGTCAAGTTGACACAAAACTTTAACGATCACAGCACCCCACACATGGAATATATTGGCAGGTCCACCAACCTCCAGAGATGCACACTGACCAACATCTATCGCTCTCCCTGCGACACTGAACACAGTTATGCAATCCTGGAACTTCTTTTCCTTAGCTTCAGTGACTTCATAGTCTCCCGGATTTTCTTCCACTATTCTAGTCAGCCCTTTGTAGTCTTGTTCCTTTGACTACCCATTGGATGGTAGTATTTCAAGGCTCTCTCCCTAATCTCGGATTCTACATAGCCCCCAGGCAGCCTCATCAACTTGCAGGACCTCAAATACCTCTTGTGTGCTAGCAACTCCTAAAGCTGCTTCTTTGCCCTCCACTCCTTCAAGTTCTAGATCCACATGTCTAGCTCTCACTTGGACATTTCCACCTGACTCCCACATCATGTCAATCTCAGTGAGCTCCAAACTGAACTCATCTTCTTTCTCACATCAGGTCCTCCTCCTGTGTTCTCTCAGAGAACCACACTGCCACCCCCCTGGGAGAGTCTTCTATTGTACCCTCCCACAGGCTGCGCTGAGCAGTAGTGTGCGCCTTGTCCCTCCTCTACCAGAACACTGAGCTCACTGAGTAGGGAAGAGCTGCTTGTCTGTCAAGCTTCCCAGGAGACTGTAGGGAATTTGGAGGCTATGTCTGGGTCTTATCCATTTCCATATCCCAAGAGCCTCAGTACATGCTAAGGCCAAACAGGTTCTCAGGGAAAATATGCTGCAGTATCAACACATCTGACGCAAACAAGTGTATGGACATCTGCATGTGTTTTAGCAGATGTCCATACACTTACAAACACAAAGGCCAAGGCCACACAGGATAGGCACCATCAGTCCCTCCCTTCTCAGTGTTGGTGGCGTCAGACTCTTTCACAGAGATCCTGCTTTATACACTTCAGGAAGAAGGAACAAAAGGATGGAAGATTGCTTGTTGGGTCTTGGAGAAACAAAGGTTGTAGTTTTCACAGGGACTGTGAAAGGAAGGAGTTGCTGGGAAGACAAGGAAAAACCACTGGAGCTTCCATGGGTATCTGTGGCAGGATAGAGGTTCCACCCCATACCAATCCTTTGCCTTGGCTTTTCTCTTACAGGAGGACGAGCTACAGTCTTGCTTAAAGTCTGCGATTTCTTTGAGCCGAGCCAGCAATGTCTTCCTTCCTTCCAGTCTGTTAACACTCCTAGCTAGCAGAGTAGCACATGACTTGTTTTTCCTTGGGGATATGAGGATGTCTCCCACTGCTGAGATTGGCCTGAGCTCCAACTGACCATCTCTTGCCTGTCAACCACAGACCACGCCAGACAAGTCCATGCTCCAGTTTCAGGCAAGCTTTGACAATGGACTGCAGACTCCCTATGAAGCACGGGACCCCAAAACCTGTTTAGATGGCAAAACTTGCCTGACAGAGGACAAATATACAAACCTATTGGCTACCCCTCGGCTCCAGTAGACATCTGTTAAATACACAAAGAGAGGCTGACAGACATCAATGAATGGACAGAGTGGGAACAGGTGACATGCTGGGGATGTACTTACTTAAGGGAGATATAGACAGGGCCAGTGAGACCAAGAGAGCCAATCAGACAGCAGTGGAGACAGTAGAGCAGGGCACTGAAGGTGTGTCTCAGGCTTTTCTATTTTTCCTATAAGTTGAAGACACTTTCTATAAGTAGACACTGATATTGAGTTACTAAATGTTATTTTTTCTTTCCACTGAAGTTTATTTTTACAAAAGCAAATTAAAGGGCTTATCTTCTACAAATCTCTGTAATACTTGTGCAGTATGGCTCTTTAATAAACCCAGTTGGTAGAATGCAACTCTACCCTCTCATCCCATTTCCTGGGAACGCCTGGGAAGTACCTTATGTCACTGAGCCTGGCTGTGATCCCAGAGTTAACATCTCTGACTGCATTTCCTCAGATCAACTCAAGACTCTGAAATGTCCAGGACAGCAAGCTTTGGAGGCTCCTGGGGGCCGGAGTCTGGGGAGCGACTGGAGAACTTGTAAGGGACAGTTATTCCAGAAACTTCCGACCCAAGAAGCCTGGGTTGATAAAGGGGCTGTGGGTAGGGATACAGACTTGCTCTCTCATGTTTGCCCAGGCCCCTTCTATGGGGTCAACCCTGCTGAGCCCATTGCCCAGGGCTAGGCATCCCCCTTTTCTTCCCCTTTAGAACTACAGCTGCCTCTTCAGTGGCCCAACCTCCCCTGAGGACCCTGGAAGGCCTGGTCTGGAGGATGTAATGTACGGTGTCCTGGAAGTGTCACACAAAGTGGAAACTAGCAGGACAGGATGCCACAGAACTCCATTGTCAGGTACTCCAGAAAAGGCAGCATCTGGGCTTGTCTAGAAGGACGGATCCCAGCAGGAGAAATTCACAGGAAGAGGGCCCATCCTACGCAAACATACAGGAGAAAGTATAGGCTAGGAGTAAGGTGGTTTGGTTTGGCAGAATGACCAAGCAGCAGCTTTCAGTGGGATAGAGCAGTGGCCGTGGGGACTGGCTAATGGTTCACTGAGTGATTTTGTGACTATCTAGAGGCAACATCTAGGAAGGCATTCTCCTAGGTTTGCAGATGGGCCTAGAGTCTGGAATTTCAGAGCCCAGTTCTGCTGCTGTAGTTCTATCCTCAGACTTCCTGGTAGTGACTACTTACTTCTCACATGGAACCTCAGACCAGTGCCTCTACCTGGGGCCTCCTACCTTGGACTTGACACCCCAGCCCCACCACTTCCCTGAAACCATGAGTGCTTACTTGGTGCCAGTCCATATTCAGTCCCAGGGACACAGAAAGGAAGAAGGCCCAATCTCTGCCTTCACAGAGCTCATAGTGCAATATAGTGGACAGGTCCACCGCCGGGGATTAGGAGACAGATCCCAGCAAAAGAATCATTGTAGGCTGAGCAGAAACCTTAATAGTATTATTTTGTTTCTCCCTATGAAGTGGGTACTTCTCATATTTAGATGAAGAATCAATCTTAGATTAAACAACTTGCCCCTGGTCAGTTGGTGGTGGAAATGGGTCTTGAACCCAAGTCTATTTGAATCCACAGCTTATGGCAATAGCCAGGGCTTACAAAATGTACTAGAGGAATGGCCATCACTAGACCTTGGTATCACCATGACCATTCCACCACTGGAAGCAGATGGTAGCTCCCCGGTCTCTCTGACTGCATGGTCTGGGCACATGAGAAGTCCCGTTACTCCTACTCGCCAACCTTTGGTTCACTGAGCTGCCTTATGTCTCCACATTTTTATTCTGGTACCCATCCTTCTGTTTTAGAGGAAGAAGCTCTCTCCCTGTCACCAGGGCCAACGCCTGGACTTACCTATGCAAAGAGTAGGTACCCCCCTTGCCCCATCCCACTCCACTATCTCCTTCACCACCCCTTTAACCCAGGAGGAGGTTGTGCATCTGACTTGCTTTAGATCCTTTCAATCCCACCCATTCTTCCCATCCCAATCAGTCATGATGGCACAGATTTTATATGATCACGCCAAGTGCCAAAATGTCACTTCCTCAGAGGCCTTTCCTGCTTCCCTGATCACCCACCACCTCTAGCACTCTCTAATCTCTATCCTGCTTTTTGTAAATCTTTATGGGAGCAGAAAGCCTCATCTTTCTCCCATGGAGTAGCTGGTAGATTCAAACTGCCGACCTTGTGGTTAGCAGCTCAGCTTGTAATCGACTATGCTACCAAAGCTCCTTTTATTGCTCAATACCCCCACTAAAATGTAAGCTTCATGAGGGCAGGGAATTTGTTTACTGCTATATCCCCAGTGCCCCATAGTAAATGTTCAATATGAATACATGTTTGCAGAATGAATGAATGAATGTTTGTATCATCTTCAACCTAAAACAAACAAAAGACAGCCTTTCCTTTTTCCTTTAACTTTCTTCTCTCCTAATAGTCTGCTTTATTTTTTCATTCGATCTTATCTTCCCCAGATACCTTTCTGTCAGTACCTCTCTGAAACTGGTTTCTCCTCCACCACTGAGGTGAGAGTGTGGCCTCACAGGAACAATACAGCACAGAAGAGAGGGCAATAGGGTTCATATGTTGCTTATTCCACCTTTTGCCACTTGTATGATTAGAAAACTTATTTAGCAAAATGGAACCTCTACTTCTTTTTAAATAAATGCATATACTACTGCCTACTTCTCTGGATTGCTCTAAGGATTAAATGAGATAATGCTTGAGAAGTACCTGGCCAAGGAAGTTCTTGATGACTGGCCAGTTCTTTAACGCTGACCACTCCTTATCAAAACCCTATTTTCCCTTAGCTTGTATGTTGCCATCCTTCCTAGTTCTCTTTCAGCATTTCTGACCATTCATTTGCTACCCTTTCTTTGCTTGACTGATAAATGTAACATCATTAAAATGAAAAAGAGTTGTTCAACAAAACACATCATAAAGAGAAAAGACAGGAGTTCCAACAAAATGGCAGACTAGGCAGACATGCTATATAAACCCTCTACAACAAAGACACAAGAGACCAAATGAAACTGATATTAATGATGATTTTGGGACCCTGAGCTTCAGAGGCAAGGAAGAGAGAAGTGAATTGAATTGTCACCTAGAAGGAAACGTTGAACAAAAATAGCAAGACAGGAGATGGACGGGTGAACTATCAGCTGGCCTGATGTGGCAAGGCCATCTTGACCTTTTGCAAGCAGCATTCCATCAAGACAGCAGCCTGACAACAAAAACCCTCCTGGGGATCATCATTGGCAATATCTCATAAAGGCATTATAAAATTGAATTTGCACACACTAGTGACCTGGTAATTTCAATTGAAGATAAGAGACTAGCGAGAGACTTTTCAAGCACTTACACTGTTGTTGCTATTACTAAGTGCCATTGAGTGTTACCCATACCCTCCTGGGGACCAGAGATGTGGGCAGTTCCCACCCTCCATTCTCTGCCCTGCACAGCCCTGGTTCCATACCCTCCTGGACTGGACACCAACTGCACCATCCTATATCTGGAGGCATCTGAACTCCAACCCATCAGAGCTGCAGAACATGCAGAACCTGGGGAAAAGTTAGGAAATTTTCGTAGATATTATCAAACACCTTGAGGGAATGAGTTTCTTGGGATGGGGTCTCAGGACCATAGTCTTGGAGGGAAACTAAGGTCGATTGGCATAGCACAGTCCACAAAGAAAACATTCTACTTTCTACTTTGGTGACTAGTGACTGGTATCTTAAAAGCCTGTGAGAAGCCAACTATTGACCTTTGCTTGTCTGGAGAAAAGAAGAGTGATGGAAATTAAAGATACATGGAAACAATCAGTTCAATGGACTAAAGGCCCAGGCAAACATCAATCTCCATGACCTTGAGACCAACTACTACTACCAACTGCTCTTAAATGGACCACATTCGAAGACCGTGGGCAAAAATGTGGAACAAAATTCAAAATCACATACAAAAAAAGTCCAGGTGTACTGCTTAGAGACTGGTCAGACCCCCAAGACTATTGCCTTAAGGTTTGGAACTGGACTCATCCTGTGGCTTAACTTTCAGCCAAACAACAAACAGGTCAATAAAAAGAACACTAACACTAGTGAGGTATACATACCTTAGAATAATCAACCATTTGAGACTACAATGGCAGCATTTACCAAAGAACAAAGTTCAGAAGTGCTAGGAAAGAAGAACCAATGGAAACAGGAAACCTGGGGAGGATGTGGATAAGTGATATTACATTGAAGGGATTGCAAGCAATTAGATGAAACAAAATGTGTATGACTCGTTGAATGTAAAACGGATGATCTGCCCGATAAACCTTCACCCAATTCACTAGAGAACACAAATTCATAAACTGGGTAATGATACCATCAACATACATTAACAAACATTTAGAATATGAGGGGGCTTCAAAATGTTTGTGGAAATTTTCATTCCATTTTTCCACATACCGTTAAAAGCCCCTCATTTAAATGACTTAAAAAAAAAAAAAAAACACCTTTTATTGTGAATTGAGTGAAATTTAAATTGCAAGATCATTAGTTTTACAATCAACAAATCCTACACTTTGGTTCATCCCAACTGCAATCCCTTCCATGTAATACCACTTATCCCACTTCCTCCCTGGGTTTATTGATTTCAT